GCCATCTTGGCCCCCCACCTCAAAATTGTAAGATATTTTAAATGTACTGTACATCATGATTTGATCTACGTATACATTGTGAAAGTTTCCTCCTATCTAGTTAAATCCATCATCACTTTTTTTTTTTGGTGATATTTTATTTCTACTCAGCAAGTTTCAGTTTAAATTATATAATACAATATTATCATCTGTAGTCACCATGTTACACATTAAACCCTCAGACCATTCATGTTACAGCTGAAATGTTGTAACCTTTAACTTCTCCCTATTTTCCTCTACACCCCCAGCCCCTAGCAACTGCTTTCTTACTGAGTTTTACTCCCTTTTTAAGATTCCACATATAAATACCATGCAGTGTTTGTCTTTCTGCCTGGCTTATTTCACTGAACATAGTTGCCTCAAGATCCATCCATGTTTTCACAAATGGTAGGACTTCCTTCTTTCTCATGGCAGAATTAACATTCCATTGTATACATTTGCCACACATCTTTCTTCATTCATCTTTGACTGCCACTTAGGTGTTTTCGTATCTAGGCTATTGTCAATCGTGCTGCAGTGAATATAGGAATGTAGTTCGGGTTTTTTTTATATTAATATCCTGTTTCCATTTCCTTTGAGTGTATATACACAGAACTCGGATTGCTGGATTTGTACTTTTTACAGTTTTTAATTTTTTGATGAATCTTAATACTGTTTTCCATTCTTACTGCCCCAGTTTACATTTCCACCAACGGTCCACAGTGTTCTCTTTTCTTCGCATCCTCACCAATACTTCTCTTTTGTCTTTTAGATGATAGCCATTCTAACACCTGTGAGGTGATATTGTGGTTTTGATTTGTGTTTCTCTGATGACTGCTGATGTTGAACGCCTTTTTGTGTACCTGCTGATCATTTGTATGTCTTTGGAAAAGTGTATGTTCAGATCCTCTGCCCATTTTTTAATTGATTGCTTTTTTGCTGTTGAGTTGTGTGAGTTCTATATATGTATTTTGGACATTAACCCCTTGTCATATATATATGGCAATTTTTTTTCCCATTTCATAGGCTGCCTTTTTATTTTGTGAATGATTTCCTTGGCTGTGCAGAAGCTTCTTAGTTTGATGTAGTCCCATTTGTTTGTATTTGCTTTTGGTGTCAAATCCAGAAAACCTTGTCGAGATCCATGTCAAGGGGCTTACCTACTTTGTGTTCATCTAGGAGTTTCATGGTTTCAGGTATCAAATTTCAGTCTTTATGTGTATGGTTTAAGATAGTGGCCCAATTTCATTCTTTTGCACTTGGCTGTCCAGTTTTCCAGCACCACGTATTGAAGGTATTGTCCTTTCCCCACTGTATATTCTCGGCTCCTTTGTTGTAAGTTAATTGACCATATATGTGCATGGGTCTGTTTCTGGGCTTTCTATTCTGTTCCACTGATCTATGTGTTTTTATGCCAATACCATATTGGGGGTTATTTGGTTTGGGTTTCTTTCCTTTTGGCAGGGGGAGGTAATTAGGTTTATTTATTTATTTGTATTTATTAATGGAGGTACTGGGGATTGAACCCAGGACCTCGTGCATGCTATGCATGAAGAATGAAATATAGGCATTTGCTGCAACATGGACGTACCTCGAGATTATCCTACTAAGTGAAGTAAATCAAAGATAAATGTCATGTGATACCACTTACATGTAGACTCTAAAGAAATAAGATGAACTTATTTACAAAACAGAAATAGACTCATAGACATAGAAAGTAAACTTATGGTTACCAAAAAGGAAAGAGGTAGGAAAGGATAAATTTGGAATTTGGGATTAACATATACACACTACTATATATAAAATAGATAAACAAGGACTTACTGTATAGTGTTGGAAACTATTCCATATCTTGTAATAACCTATAATGGAAAAGAATCTGAAAATATGTGTGTGTGTATGTGTATGTGTGTGTGTGTGTGTGTGTGTATCTGAGTCACTATGCTGTACACCTGAAAAACTATAAATTAACTATACTTCAATAAAAAATGAAAATTAAAAAGTATGTATTGTTGTGTCTCAGGGAATAGGGAGGCCTGCTCCCTCCCCTCAGGAAGAAGGAGAGAGACGGGAGTTGCTGGTTGGCTGGAGCAGTCAGAAGGCACAACACTTACCAAGTTCTCCATCTGATACGAGCACAGGTCATACTGCCCCAAAACAATTACAATGGTATCATCAAAGATCACTGGTCACAGGTCACCATAACAAATACAACTTTAAAAGTTTGAAATATTGCAAGAATTACCAAAATGTGACATAGAGACATAAAGTGAGCAAATGCTGTTGGAAAAATGGCCCTTACAGCCTTGCTTGATGCAAAGTTGTTTAAAAAAAAAAAAAAAAACTCAGTACAGGCATATCGTGGAGCTATTGCAGGTTTAGCTCCAGACCACTGCAGTAAAGCAGCATCTCAAAGCGAGTCACATGAATTGTTTCCCAATGCATACAGAAGTTATCTTTACACTATACTGTAGTCTATTCAGTGTGCAATAGTATTATGTCTAAAATATATATACCTTAATTTTAAAATACTTTATTGCTAAAAAATACTAACCATAATCTGATAGCAGGATTGAAGCAAACCTTCGATTTGTTAAAAAACAAAAGTGCAGCATCTACAAAGCACAATCAAATGTAGTATGCCTGTACATCGATTATGTATCCTGCAGCTTTATTGTAGTCGTTTATTGTAACAGGTTTTTTTTGGCAGTCTTTAGGTTAGTCTATATATAATACGTCATCTATAGTTCATCTACTTCTTCCTTTTTGTTTCAGAAGCTTTCATTTCCTTTCCTTGCATTTTCTTCCACTTGCTCTGCCTAGGACTTCTAGTACTATGTTGAATAAAATTGGCAAGAGTGGACATTCTTGTCTTGTGACTGATCTGAGAGGAAAACTTCAGCTTTTCATCACTGAGTCTGGTGTCAGCTGTCGGCTTGTCATATATAACCTACATTATGTTGAGGTACGTTCTGAACCCCATATGTTGGGAGTTTTTATCATGAATGGATGTTGAATTTTGTCACATGGTTCTGCATTTTCAGGTGATCATCTGATTTTTATCCTTCATTTTGCTAATTGGCCTATCACATTGATTTATGGATATGCACCATCCTTACATCCCTGGGATAAATTCCACTTAACTATAGGGCATGACCCTTTTAATGTGCTGTAGACTTTGCTTTGCTAATATGTTGTTCAGGTATTTGTATCTATATTCATCAGAGATGTTATGTAGGCGTGTAGTATTCTGTTCTTGTAGTGTCCTTATTTGGTTTTGGTACCAGGGTAACGCTATCCTCAAAATCAGTTTGGAAGTATTCCCTCCTCTTCTGTTTGTTGGAGGAGTTTAAGAAGGATTAATATTCTTTAAATGTTTGGTGGAATTTACCAATGAAGCTGACTGCTCCTGGAATTTTCTTTATTGGGAAGTTTTTGATTACTGATTCAAACACCTCTACTGGTAATTAGTATGCTCAGATTTCTATTTTTCTCATGCTTCAGCCTTGGTAGGTTTTAATGTTCTAGGAATTTATCCATCTCTTCTAGGTTGTGCAGTTTGTTGGTGTGTAATTGTTCAGCATAGTCGCTTATGATTCATTGTGTATTAGTTGTAATATCTCCTCTTATTTATAATTTTATTTGAGTCCTCTTTTTCATTGTAACTCTAGCTATTCTGTTTCTTTTTTAAAAAATCAGCATTTCATTTTACTGATCTTTTCTATTGTCTTTTTAGTCTCTATTTCATTTCTTTCTGCTCTAAGCTTACATTTCCTTCTAATAACTTTGGGCTCAGTTTGCTCTTTTTTTTCTGGTTCCTTGAGGTGTAAGGTTAGGTTGTTTTATTGAGATCCTTATTGATTCTTAACGCAGTATGAACTTCCCTACTAAAATTGATCTTGCTGTTTCCTGTATGATTTTGTGTGTTGTATTTCTGTTTTGCTTAGAACTGAACCCATCTCAGCCACTTACCACTCTGTGCCTCCAATTCCTTATCTATGGAGGAGCGATGATGGTGGCACCTACCCTAGTGAGCTTTTGTGAGGATCAGAGTTATTACAAATAAAGCCTCTAGGACCCAACTTAGCACGTGATGAGCTGCGAGAGAGCCGTGATTACTCTTTGGAAAGTAGTCTTTGTCTGAATCTAAGAACAATTTTTTCCATATATTATCTTTTTGTTCCCTCAAAGGATTCACCATGACTTATTTGCCATGAGGTATGTGTAACACAGTGAGCTTTCCTGCCCTCTCCATCCCCGACTCTTGTGAGTCTCAAATTGAGAAGGCCTTCCTCTCTGAGAACTGCAGCTGAGGCGGTGTGCGCAGCCTTGCCTACCGTGTGGTTTCCTCCTACACGAAATGCAGCTCAAACTGCTTGTGCTGAATTCCCTCCTGCGTAAGCAAGAACAGGTGTTGTGGCATAATTCAAGCGGCAGTCTCGTCTCTTCATGAATCGATTCAGTTGAGCAGCTTCCACTTCCTTCCCACTCTGTGCTGCTGTAGTAATTCAGCACAAAGCCCCAACCTCCCCACCACACACCCAGCAAATTCTGAAAGCTGAGGTTATGAGAAATTGCACCCACTTTAGATCTGAGCACATGGGTTCCTCCTATTTCTAGCAACACTGCAGACACTGTGCTGGTCTGTGCAGAACAGCCGCTCTCACTTGGAAGAGTCTATTACATCTCAACTAGCTAGAGACAACATTCACATAATCTTTAACAAGCTTCAAAAATGTAAATTAAGATCTAGTCTCTAAAACTGAAGCTTCTAGCTACTCGTAAGTCACAAAAATTGCACAATGGTATTTCAAATAGTACATACAGCTTTATAACAAAAAGAATAGTCACAAATATTGCACAATGGTATTTCAAATAATACATACAGCTTTATAACAAAAAGAATACAAAGAATTTGTATTCTTGAAAGAATACAAAAAATTAAAAGCAGAAGAAAAAATTCATTTGTGATATCAAAAGGCTATGGGATTTGATCTTTTTATCTTTCTTTTTTTTTAAGTTAAGAGAGAAAATGAAAAGTGAAACAGATCGACATGAGCTGACCCAGGGTCCTCAGTCACCCTGAGGACAGCAGGCCTGTCTGGCCACACAGGGCCACTGCCTGAGACGACGGAAGCACCTACAGCTTCTGGACCAGCATGGCAGAGGCGCCACCGCCTCCATTGCAAATACTGGCAAGACCATATTCTCCTTGCTTCAGCGCATGAGCCAAATGAACGATGATCCTGGCCCCAGACATCCTAGGGTTAAGAAAAGCATGTGGGTTCTTTAATGATTTATAGAAGGTATGAAAAACCAAAACAAAAGTTTCTATTCCAAATTGATTTTTTTAAAGTTTACTAGCTGTTACTTACAGCGGAACTTAACTACTTTAAGTTGAGAGACCTGTTTCAAGACGGTTACAGCTTTTTTAAAAGCCCGAGTACAGACTTTAGCATTAAATTATCTCCTTCAGCCTAAAACAATATTAGTTTTCAAGCAACAGATGTACCAAATCTCTGTTCACTGTGGATCCTATCAGAAACGGCATCTGCCTTAGGTTATGAAGGATGATGGGTGGGAAGAAAAACTGTTAAACTAAGGGTAACAGGAATTATCATGAAGCAGTTTAAGTTTAGCTAGAAGGACAAAGGCAGCCATTACCCTGGATTACCTTTCTCCTTATGACTTTACCTACCCAATTGGATGTCCAAGAGAAACAGCTCCTCCGTCGACATTCACTTTTTGGGGATCGATCTCTAGCATTTTAATGTTTGCTAGAACGACCAGGCTAAAGGCTTCATTTACTTCCCACATTGTAATATCTTCTTTTTTCAATCCTGCATCTTTCAGAACCTAACATTTTTTAGAATATAGATTATGTTCAGATAAAAGTCAAAGCTTAATTTCATTATCTTCTTGAAATTCAGCAATTTTGGCTTATATCTCCCTTTGATATAACTATTTAAATATGGAGTTTCCTAGTGTCCAGGAAGACAGGCTTTTATTTTCTGATTTTAATTTCTCATCTTATTGCACTGTGATCAAAGAATTTTGTTTGCATTATCTTATTTCTATTTTGGAGAGAGAAAAAACTTGATTTTCTTAAACATTCCATGAAGACCTGAAAAGAACATGTACTATTTATTTGGGGGTACATACGTGATACATATTCTTAAAATCTACTGATCATATGCTACTTAGTTCTAGATTATCTGTCAGATGCAAGAGGCGCACTAGTCTCTACTGTTACCATATTTCTGTTTTCCATTGCATCCCCTAGAGTTTCTGCTTTATACAAGTTGCTGTGGGGTGATCTGGGGCAGAGTTATTCAGAGATATTGTATCTTCACTGTAAATGATTTAAGTCTTCTATTATACAACCTCTTGTTTTGGTAATTCCTCAGCTATGACAGGAAGGTATATGTATGGTGCTAGTGGTTATCTTTATGCTATTATCTTTATAAAATATTGCTAGCACCCTTTATCTTAAGAAAGTTTTTTGTTGTCAGAACAATAAAATTAACATGAAACTTCCTCCTCCTTGCTCCCGTCCTCCAGCTGGCTCAGGCAGCTTCTAAGCTGTACAGCTCAAACAGCTTCCTCTAGTTGCAAAGGCATGAGATAGAACAGGGTCCCCAAGCGCAGCCACTTGTCTGGCTCTCGGAAGCTAGCTGAGAAATGTTTATCACCCTTCCTTTCCAATGTGATGCATCCACTTGCAGAAGCTGGGTGGTTCTGCTGCTTTCTGAGATCTGCCGCCTCTGGACAGACAGCACTCCCCACTGTTTCCAATACTTGTCTATCCTTACTCCCTACTGATTTCTGTTTTGTCTGTCTGTTTTGAATCTGGGTGCCTCCTCAGGGTGAGGCCCTCTGCTTCTGAAAGGGGGTATCTGCTGGAGTCTTCCGAGATCCCTCAGCCCCTAAACCAGCACAACACTGTCTCTCTCCCTGTGATCCCTCAGTAACTTCCCACAGGGACTCAGACTGACATTCCGGAGTGGCTGGTTCTCTCCGTATCTGATGTTACTCTAAGACCAGCTCCCAGGAGTTCCCATTCAGGATGAGGACCATTCCTTTCAGTAACGAGTATCTGCTTTCAGGCCTAGAACCCTGGACCCCCAGCATCCCTTTTTCTCTCTGCTGCACCAGCTTCTCCCTGGGCGGTTACCTCCCAGGCCTCCGAGCTCACAGCACACTCAGAAGGCACTCAGCTGTGCACCTGTGACCCTTCCCACTGAAGACGCAGTTTGTGGGCCGTTGCTCTTTTACTTTTGCTGCTGTTGTGCTTGTTCTTGTACTTGTTTTCAGGACAAGCGAGAAGACTGGAAACCCAGCTACCTCTATGCCTTGGCAGACGAATGGCATTTAAAATCTAAAACACGCAACCAGAATAAGCAAACCAGAAATGGGCCCCATGGAGCACGGCCCCTCGACCTGCCCTCACCTTAGGCACAGCATACGCAGGTGCAACTGGAAAATCGATAGGTTCCACAGCAGCGTCCGCAAATGCTTCATTAAAAGAAACGATAAATAGGTCATTAAACCCTGTTTTACAAGCACCCAAAGCTGTATCTAATAATTTATATAATATGCTAAAAAGTGCAAGTTTCCTACCCTTTATAATATATTTTAATGTATCTGTGCCTGTTCCAAGATTCTGCAATTTGTAAAATTATACCAGTCATCTAAGCCATTGATTTTCCCAGGTAAGGAGCCAGGGGGAATTGCCCCCAGGGACCTGGCATTACCTAGAGATATTTTGGGCTGTTGTAACAGGCAGACTGCCACTAATAACAGTATCTAGTGGGTAGAAGCCAAGGATGCTGTAAACATCCTACAGCGCACAGAGCACCCACTACAACACAGAAGTACTTGCTGCAAAATGTCAGTACTGCTGAGGTTAAGAAACCATGATCTAAACAAAATGGTATCTGTTTAACTTCTCGTGAAGAAGGCGAGGCCGACTTTATAGCTAAAAATAGGCTGAAGGAGACAGGGTGTGCCAAGGCCACGGAGTTAATAGCAAATACCAGTACAATTAGAGTTCACATTTGCAGACTCCTAAACCCATATTCTTTCTATGCTACCTGGCTCCCTTTCCCCATAGGGGAAAACGTGTGCCTTTCAGGCCCCCACACATCATACAGGACAGGAAAAGACTCTGTTTTTAAAGCTTTCTCTTATATAAAGCATACCACAATGCAAGTATTAAAGGAGCTTCTACCTCAATTAAAACGCGCTATCAGTTCAATTCTGTCACAAAGTACAACCTACAGACAGAAATAGTTGGCTACTTCAGTGTTGTGTATTACCAACAAGGAAACTCATTTTCAGGAAGAGCTGATAGGCGGTTAGGAATAAACAAGTTCAGAACATTTTCTACCTGCTATTCTTGCCAGTGGTTTAACACTGAGCCTCTTGGCTGCGTCGGCAGTCATGAGTACCACAGCAGCTGCTCCATCATTCAGCGTGCTGGCGTTGGCAGCCGTCACCGTGCCTGAAGGCATCAAATGAGTACGATTGTCAGAAAGTCCTTTCACACTGAATGTGCTGGGTTCAATTTAACAAATTAAATTCCTACAAAGGACTGCCTGTACTGCCTGGGTTGCTAGATGCATGAAAATTACAAATATGGATGGAGATAATTCCTGCCCTCAGGAAACATACATAATTAAATGTGTGTGTGATGCGGGGAGGGTATAGCTCAAGGGTAGAGTGTATGCATCCACTTGGGTTCAATCCCCAGTACCTCCACCAGAAGTAATAAATACACAGATGAACCTAATTACCTCCCCCTGCTAAAAATTAAAAATACTTAAAGTATGAGACTGTAAAAAAAACATGTATGTGTATAACACAATGTAAGGCTGCCTTTTTATGTTAGTGTTTTGTAACAGTTTATTCAAAGCTAGCTCAAAACACATGCATGATGGCACTGGGTAAATGCTGGATTATAATTCTTCAAAGGTATTTTGACACAACACTGAGTAAACTGACTATATAACTCAATCAAAACAATGTTTTTTTAATTCTTCAAAGATAAGGACGACTTCATATTTTTCCTAATTCTAAATCTTGGCTTATCCAGAAAACAGCAGGTACTCATTATATATTTTTCAAATCAATGTCAAAATCAGGTATTTCTTCTCTATAATCACGAAGTTAAATGTCAACGAACCCTAAAAAACTCTATATTTCAAAAAGGAGAATTTGATGGTATGCAAAGTCTATGTCAATTAAGCTGTTTTCAACGAAGACCCTATAATAGTTTGCTGCTAAAATTATAAAAATATACTTTTGCGGGGGGTGGGGTGTATAGCTCAGTGGTAGAGCGCATGCCTAGCGTGCACACGGTCCTGGGTTCAATCCCCAGTACCTCCATTAAATAAATAAATAAACCTCATTTCCTACCCCCCAAAAACAAACAAATACATATATGTATACTTTTGCAATATAAATTTTTATATGATGCTTTTAAAAGAAAGACAAATCCACTCCTATAATTGGTATTGGGAAATTCAATCAGAAAAGGGGAAAAACGTTAGATTATTATCACAGCTGCATACAGCCAACTTTAAAAGCAGAACTGACCTTTTATTCTGAAAGGATTTAGAGCCCTGAGATCCCATTTATACTAACATTCAACATTATTTATTGAGGACTAGGCACTGGAGATGCAACAGTGAAAAACACAGCTGTCATCTTGGTCTTCCAGAGGCTTACAGATATTGAACATAACATGTAAACCTGACTTTGATATCACAAAAAACTTCCAAGATGAGATGCACATGAAAAACTGAATTCTACAGTCGTTCTACAATCTGTTTCAGAGACTTTATATTGAAAGTATTAACTGTGAAGTAATTTCAAATATACTTTGGAAAAAGATCATTTGTTTTGTTCATTTCACTTGAGCCAGATACACTAAAAATGTGAAACAATGTCTAGATGCTTTCTAGAATTACTTTTTTAAAATCTTCAGGCCATTCTAAGACTAGATACGGTATATGACTATTTTTTAAGCTTCATTTCTTTTTTTGTTTTTTCTTAAAGCTTCATTTCTTAATACTCACCATTTTCTTTTTGGAAAACCGTCTTCAGCTTTGGAACTTTGCTAAAATCAACACGTTTGTATTCTTCATCTTCTTTCACCACTACGTCTGGTTTACCTAAAACAAAAATCTTTTAAATTAAGTAATCTTAGCACTGAAGACAATAACCAGTTGCTCAGTAAGAAACGGCGAACAAGGTGCCTGGTAGTCTGTGCCTCCCTTTGTACGCCCGCATACCTTAAGCCATCCCACGTAAATTCCACTCAAGAATCTACCATCTATAATTTCTGTTGGTGTTAGAAGAATTATTAGGGAGCGTGATACAATTTAGATCTTCTATTCAGCCACACCTCATTCTCTTCCTTCTCAGCCTTCTCCTATGATCACAGAACCGTTCTTCTAACCCTGGGGGTAGGTGTCCAACCAAGGTGGACAAGCTCGAGCATCCCATCGCTCTGAGCACAGCAGTTATTTCTAAAATGGAAATAGCCTAAACCACGTTAGCAAGTCTTTACTGTGGACTTATTGTGCGGCCGTTGCGAGAAGTGTCAGTCCTCCGTGACCGAGAGGCCTACAGATGCGATGGCAACACAGGAGGCCTGAGAGAACGAAGCGCAGAAGCGGCACTGAGCGGCCGAGACAGCGTATCCCACCGGTACTGAACTTCCTGCTCCGACCCCTGAAGGCCCCAGCTGCTGCCAGACATCCTTCAGTTCTGGGAGGAACTGAGCAGCCTAACAAATCCCCTTTTTTCACTTAACCTAATGTGTTGTCTGTCACTTATATTACAAAGAGTTCTAATAAATGCATTTCTCAAACTAAAAATTATATGCTTCGGGGAATTTGCATTTGAGTTGAAATCAGATATTAAATTGGGCTGGATTATCTCTGAGCTAGCAACATTTCCCGTCATTAACCATAAATGGAGTGCTGGTGTCCTCAGCTGAAATGAACAGAGATAAAAGTGTACTAATTTAAAACTTAAACATAAAACATTTAGCAACATGTAAAGTCTACTGAAAATTAAAATCTATTTTGGAACATAATCCTTCAACCTTTTTCTGTAATTGTGACAGGAATAACTTCATTTCCAAATTTTCCAGCTTCCCATGCTGCTCTACTTCTGGTGTAGGAGTTAATAGCATAAGCATCCTGTTCATCTCGTGTAATATTCAGTTTCTTTGCAGTATTTTCAGCACAGTTGCCCTGATAAAAGTTAAGAAAATTTTAAAAATGAATTAACTTTGTATACATTATAAAATATTCATAACTTTGCTTAACATAAAATAGTAGTTAGCAATTAAATTTAGTTTCTTAAAATATACTTTTATTTGTATTAGGTAACTTTCGTACTCATGTCTCATCTTCAAATACTTAGCCCGGAAGTTGTAATTTTGAAGGCATAAAATTAAATGGTTTTGGAATCCATTATGAGAAGTCAGAAAATGCCCTATTTCAGTATTGTGGGGCAGTTTTATTCAACAAGTGAGCCAAGCTGATACATGAGCACAGAAAACATTTTCCTAAAATGAATAGCTAAATCAACATTTATATCCTTCAGTTCAGTTTCTAAAATAATTATTTTTCTTAAACCAAACTATATAGTCAATTACAATGTGTCAAGTTCTTAAAATACACATTTTTTTAAAAATCAAGCACTATTATACATAGATGGCATTTCTCCATTAAAAAGCAATAATTACCATATGAATTTTATTGTAGACATCAGTTAGCCCATCTTTCACAATCAAATCTTCGAGCTTTATGCCACCATATGGTGTTGCTCCTCTGTTCATTACGTACGGAACGTTGGACATGCTCTCCATTCCACCTGCCACCATCACATCCTGCTCAGCAACACACAGAAACCCATTGTCAGTTCAAATAGTACCACTGACTTTTGAACAACACCGGGGTTGGGAATGTCAACCCTCCACACCGTTGAAAAATCCTGTCCTGTATGATTTCAAAATCAATCCTTGGCAGCCATGGTTCTACATCCACAGATTCAACTGTAGTACGTATTTACTGAAAAAAATTCACACGTTAAGTGGTCCAAGCAGTTCAAACCCATGCTGTTCAAGGGTCAACTGCAGTTGCAAACCTGTTTCACCCTTCACACACCCACCACAAACAAGTATTCTACGTGGACTTCAGTGAACATTTGCTACACAGGCACTACAGGAAGCGCCCTCTTGCCACCAGTGAAAGGAAACGGTCTAAAATGTGTAATGGTAATTAAGATAAAATCAGACATTAACAAGAATGCCAGGAATCGTTCATGAAAAACCCATCTTCTGAAATTCTTCTAACCCATCATGTCACTGACACTACTACAATGTAATCTCAGTTCTCAGAAATAATCCTGCTTCCTTGATTGAAATCCTCCTCATCACTTCCCAGAGAGCTACAGTAACTTCCTACTTGATCACCTGACATGCACACAGCCTTTCCTCCCACCCAGGTGTCATCGACACTCACCTGATCATGCTGGCTGGACTGTAAGTCTGGTCATCCCACTCCTGAAAGCACTCTGCAGCACAGTATATAAATAAGGCCCTTTACAGCCTGGCTTCTCTCTCCCTTCACAGTCTCATGCCTTTGACCTAACGCCTCAGGTCGCACAGAACTGGGTAAAGGTCTTCAAAGATACCACACTAATCCACACCCACACACGCCTCTGCACTTCGGACCCATCCACCAACATGCAAAACACCTACATTTTCTTTACAACTAATCAAAACACAGCCAAAAGCACATCTATGCCTTCCTGGACCTCCTACTTCTATCCCTTTTGGGGACAGCTTCCCTTCCTTCTTTTGTGTTCCTCAATTACTGTGCACTGCTTTTATTAACACCATTACTAGATTGTAACTGTATTTCTATGTCAAGTCTTCTCACTAAACTAAGCTCCTTTGAGGCCAGAAACCTTGCTGTATCTATTTTTATGTCACTGGTGCCTGGCATATATAGAAGTATAAATATTCATCACCTAACCTATAATTACAGATCAACAAGAAATTCATTTGCATTATAAGGGCTAATTTAAAACAAACCGTCTAATACAAAACAGTAATGTAAATATAAATTAAAGCCAACGTTATTTTCTCACAGCCTTTAATCAAGAATAAAAACAAACAGAAGTTCTACCCTGAAGAAACCTAAGTATTTCGCCTGTTTTGAAATATAGATTCTCAATTATTTCTCATGTAAGTTTTATTCAGTTCTCCTGAAATACTGAATATTTTCTGGAGATGATGGCAATAAATAAGTGACAAATTAAGCTACCAATTATTCTACAATATAAAATTGACCATTTGCCAAAATCAGATAATATTAGTATCAAAATAAGGCCATTCCTAGTATTCCTCTGGGTCAGGTCACTGTGCACATGTGCGGATGCATCACATAATACTAACTGAAAGTGTTTCCATGTAGTGCAAATAGCATTTGCTGGAGAACCACAATAAATCAACTGAGACAAAGCGGTCCTTGTCAAACGAACTGAAACATCTAAACAACCTCACAACCATTTTCCACCCACTGCTTTGACAACGGTTAGGTCATACCTGACGCTGGTGTTACCTTGTGTGTAGGCAAACGAGCTGTCACAACCTCTGGAAAATGTGTGCCCAGTATAACTTTAGTGGAAAGCACTTGAAAATATCAACATTTTGACGTCTCTGACCCAGAAATTCTCCTCTTAGGAATTTTTCCAGAAGACAGACTTGCACATGGTAAGATTTTTTTTTTTAATGGTTTGCTCACCAGCCTCCAGTCCCCATAGCAGGTCCTCAGCTAACGAGGGGCAGAACTAGGATTCCAAACCAGTCTGGCTTCAGACTTTGTGTTCTTAGCCACTACAGTGCTCAGTGCAATGAATTAACGAGAGCTGATGGAAGCAGTTAGGAATACACATATGGAGGTATTTACACGGGTCCTTGCTGCAGCATTATCTAAACTAGTGAAGAACTGGATACAACCTAGATGCCCATTCAAAAAGGACCCACGGAACATATTACAGTTGTTCAGTTCGATAGGATAGTACCTACGTGTGATACAGAGCCATCTCCAAGACAGGACGTGGGGCACAGACCGCAAGCAACTTGCCCCCAGGGCCTCTGCTCTTAAGCGGCAGAATACGCAAGGAAGCGGTGAGTAAGTCAGAGACTCCAAGGAGGGCAAGAGGAAAGATTTCCCATCTTATGCTTTTCTATGCCATCTCAGTTTTTAGCACGCGTACCAGCTATCACTCTTTTTTCTCTTTGGCCTGTCTTACAACTGGGAACAAAGCAAGGGAGGAGTTAACAGCAATGGTACACATAATCTGGCTCTTGTCTATGAAAGAAACAATCCGCAAACAACTCACAGCTGATTTTTACCTGGTGTGTTACGCCCTGATAGGCTGGACTGCACTAGACAGGGAGAGAGACACCTGCTTCCTAATTTTAGCCCTGGAATTGACTCATCCTCTTTCCGCAACTGAATAAAAGGGCTGGGATCTGATAAACTCTTGGTTCTTTTGAGTCCGGGTCTGGTCTCCTACCAGCCAGCATGTATTTGCTGAGCAGCCCACCTCTTGCTCACTCTCAGGTAAAGACAAGACCAAAATCAGCAAGGCCAGTCTTGAAAGCGAATCTGGGCATGACGAACCACAAATCAGCCATCCATCCTGGGCTCGCTCCATAATTTGATTCCCACGTCAGCACCTTACTCTCATTTACGGTGAAAATCCTTTTTATTCTGGCAAATACAAAATTGGGGATGTCTTAAATCACCCAGAACCTCTGAGTAAAGGGGCACCCAAAGACTAAAACATCCTGGCTGAAAACTACTTTTTAACACAAGACACTTAAGCCATCGTTCTGACCTCTACTTCAGATGGAGCTGGCAAATCCAGACACTCCTGAGTGTCCGAAACAACACAGCAACTGTACTTATGAATCTCACTTTTAACTTTTTTTTAATTTTGGGGAAGTACTGGGGATTGAACCCAGGACCTGGTGCATGCTAAGCATGCGCTCTACCCTCCCCACCCCAAGAATCTCACTTCTAAAGTATGAACACGCTTAGATCTTTAGTGTCTTGTAGCACAGCATACTATTTTAGTTATAAAAAGGAAAAGAAGGTACTTCTTACCTGGTGTCCACACATAAGATTCTGAGAGGCCATCATGATGGCTTTCAGTCCTGAGGCACAAACCTTGTTTACCGTGGTGCATGGGGTAGAAATAGCTAAGCCTAAAACCAGGAGAAGTCACACGTGTGAAAAACAGACACTCCTCAAGCACAACTGAGAATGAAAATTAATAAAATACAGCACGTTCAACTATAATCTGCAACATTCCTCCTGCCAGTGTAAGTCTAGCACACATTTAACATCTTACTTAAGCTGAAATGACCTCCATTTTTCCAGGTCAGACATTTTAAGTATAAAAGCCAAAATGTGTTCCTCGTACCTGCCCCCAGCGCCGCCTGCCTTGCAGGGGCCTGTCCTTCACCTCCTTGTAGGACGTTGCCCATGTACGCTTCTTTCACTTCTTCTTTGGGAATCCCTTTTTAAAAAAAAAAATTAAAAAGATATTTCCGTATCTTAGTCAACTGAGTAATTTGTAATTACCTAGTCAACTACATGGCACTATATAGCAGGAATGGTTTCCTTTTCTTGTCGATTCTGGGTTTCATTCTTAACACTATAGTACAAGGACTTCCTTTCAAGGGAATTCGGAAAATATAGGTGTTTATTCATTTCTAAGTGTTTTATGTATATATACATATATATGTGTGTGTGTGTGTGTATATATACAGTCACATAGAGAGAGAGAGAGAGAACATAAAATAAACATAAGTTCTGTTGAATCACTTGCCCCCTCAGCACAAAAAGTAAAGCGACTACTGACCTGCCTTTTCAATGGCTCCCTGAATTGCAATGGAACCGAGTTTAGTGGCTGGCAAAGCGGAAAGGCTGCCCAGAAAGGATCCAATGGGTGTTCTCGTGGCACTTACAATGACCACTTCCTGGCAAGACAGAAGAGGGTGGAAATGATTACATTTAAATGTTACTCAAATCATCTTCCATTAAATAAACATAATTCACAGACATATTACCCAAGAAACAGATGTTATGAATGACTAATTACCCATCAAAGATTAAAATAATCTCCATATTTGAACAGCAGTAAAATCAGTTCAATGCCGGTACTTTATGATTTAAGACCTAACAGAAAACCTAAGACAAAGCAATTCTTAAATAGGCACAGATCCTTCCCAGTTCCCTACAGGAACTTCAAACCAGAAGCTTAAGTGTCAACTCTATTCCTCAGCTGGAGCTTAAGAAACGATCACTTTACCCTTGTTAACTGCGTAACAAACAACCCTAATCAAGGGCTTCCTTACTGAAGGGAACTCTGGGCTTGGAATCAAGACGTGCGTGCTACTGGGGGCCACACCACTGACGTAGGACACAGCCAGAGCCGTAATTCCTTAAACTATTAATAAGACAATAAGAAATTTAAGAAAAAGAAGATAAAAACTCTCGTAAATACTGCAAAACACTACTGTAACAATTCTCTTTCTACATCCTCTTAGATAAACACATATACATACCTACATTCTCACAGATAATAAGAGAACTGCTCCCTAGATCCTGGTTGAAGGTAACTACCAAGTCATTTTAGAAACCTTATGTAACCAAGACAGGACCCCTGAGAGCGTTAGGTGACCTGCTGATGGTCCTTGCGGTCTCAACCCAGCCCCATTCAGTCTCTTTCTTCTAGTATCTTCCATCTGGCCTCTGTAATGCACCCACACAATACAGCGAGAGTCTTCCAGAATAAAGAGGGAACACTGCCTAGTTTTAGAGAAGGTTGTTCACCACTGACAAGGAGGAAGAAGCAGAAATTATGCAGGGCACAAAATTGAAAATTTTTATGGTACTCTGGGAGTTTGACTTCGTATTTCAATAATGAGCTGTTCTTAACCATTGCATCAAACTGAGTTGACCCTCACCTACACACAAATCATAAGAATTCACATTTTTATTGACTTTTCCTTCAAATTCTTGAAATTTTAAAGTACAATTTAAATTTATACTTACATTCAAAGTGGGTTTTGATGCATAACTTCGCTCCACGTATCTTATTTCCTGTAATATAAATATTTATGTTATGATGTAATAAATATTAAACTACATCACTCTGCATTTTTCAGTAATGGCGTTATGGTGATTTCTTCTGGCTGCATCACACTTTTACTTCTACATTTTCCAGTTAGTATATATCACTGTTATAATAAAAAAAAAAATTACTGCTTTTGTAATATACTCATCTGATTAACTGTTGGTTGGAAATGTATGTTTTAACTTCTGATAAGCTTATGATTTAAAAATTTCTAAGCCTTTTTAAGTATTAGCTTTATAAAATGCAGTTTTAAGTTAATCTATGTTCTAAATTAAGTAATCTTTGAGTACCACAATATCCTCATTGCTTAAAAAAAATCTAAGTTAAATTTGCTGTTTCTCCCCATCCACTTCTAACAAATGTCTCTAATTTATTTGAGGCAAACACACCTCATACAAATTTAGTCTATATTACCAGATAAATTAGTTTTCAATTTTTTTTTAAATTAGAAGAGTAAATATCTTGTTCCTATATCTCAATTTTTCCACACTGGTCTTAGGAATGAATGCTATCAATAAATTCTGAAAATGCAGGTCATAGTTTAGAGGCCTAATTGATCTGAAATTGGGCAATTTACAGGATGAAGAATGAAGAATAAAATTTTTTATCCTCTGGAGTTAGAAAGCACAATAAATATTCAAAAATGACAGCTTACATTTAGAACCCAATCTTCTTGATAGTTATAATGGTCAGTCATATCTCACAGAGTAATAAACAAGTCTACAAATATCTAAAAACTTTAAACTGACCCAAAGAACTTACATTAAATAAGTCTTGCCCTGATTCAATGAAAAGAACCAACAAAAGCTTTCAATTTATAATACAGCACAGACTAAAAGAAAGCAGATTTGACAAACAGTGGTTACAAGCCGGGATAACCATAGTCACTACAAAGTACCCACCTAAAATTGACTTTTATAAAGTATTTAGGTGAAAATATACAAAGAAATACAAATGGCAACGTAAAGAGAATTTTTTCCTAGGCAGTGGAAAAACAGAACTTAATTCTAAGGTAATCTTTTTTCCAAAGTTAATATGATAGAATAATTCATTTTTATGTAGGAAATACATGTAAGCAACTTTGCTATAAGAAATAATCTAACTTAGCCCTGATTTGATTCTAAAATGTCATCATTACATTACTGAGTGCAGCCTCTATTCTAAAGAAATGCCTTTACAGTTCTTGTGCGTGGGAGATGGCCAACACACATAAGACCGCCTGATGCTTCACCTGCTAGGTAAACATGCTGGCACCACTTACCTTCCAGCAGGCATTATGGGGAATTTGAGGTCTGTCAAATATGGTCCCTGTACTCAAGCAGAATTACAACCTTATAAGGGAGAAATGCTAGTTATCTGCACTTCCTGCAACAGAATTTGTTACGAACTACAAGAAAGGCAAGCCATCCCCAGAGAAGACAGGTTCCTGGAGGAGACCTTCACAGGAGAACGATACACTTGGTGTTGTGCAAAAGTCTTCAAGTACCGGGTGGGGTTCCACTGAAATGCTTCAGACAGGAGTTCCACCAACACTCTGTTTAAATTCATCTTTCAAACACGTCAAATGTAAACACAATAGGGATCACCAACATGCTACTTGTTACTATCAAATTAACCTGTTTGTGTAGACCTTGAAATGCAACGTACCTGCCCTCTTTACCTGCATTTGCACCTCTGAAAGCTGTGTCATTAGGTTAGCAACGCTTGTCTCTTCACCCTCCTGAGCTTCATGTGCCCCCCTGAGCAACAGCAGACACTGCCGGCCCAGGCCCAGGGCGCACGTCTGTGCCCGGCAGGGCTCCTCCTTAATGCATGTTCCTCCTTGGTCTCAGCTGTGCAAAAACAAGTGCTCCCTTTACCTATCATATAACTCGGGCTGCTGCTTTTATGTAACCCATTATCCCTTCCCTCTCCGCTGCAGCATCCATCCCCTCTCCTCCCGGAGCATTCCGTCAGCACAGAAGTAGGCTCTGGCTCCTGCCACATAAAAGGATTTAGAACAAACAAACTCCCCTTAACCCCGATTCCCGCTGAGCTTTCATCTCATTCCCCAGCTCCTCTGTACAACAGAAGTTCTCTAACAACTTACTCACAATTTGTTTCCTTGTCCTCACCTCCTATTTCCTGTTCCACCCCATCTGGCTTTTATCGATCCTGCTGATGACTTTGAGCGAGGTCAGCAATGTCTGGGCAGCAAAATCCAACAAACACTCCACCACGTGCGTCCCGGCCCCTCGGCGACCTGGAGCTCACTGTCCTCCTTTGGGGCATATGAGCCGTGGGCAGAAGCCTGGGCTTACAGCTGTGTGCTTCTGACCTTTACCTTGGTTTTCTAGAACACTCTCCACAAGTCGTTGTGAGAATAAACGAGGTAATATGTGTAAACCACTACACAGACCCTCCCTTTTCTTGGCTTCCATTTTAACACAGTCTTGTGGCCCTCCTCCTACCTCCCTAAGTTATTTTTCTCAGTCTCTTCTGCTGTTTCATCCTCCCCTTCCCAACCTCTTAGTGCTGGAAGGTCCCAGGGCGTTGTTCCTGGCCCCTTTTAATTTTCCAGCTTCACTGTCTCCTAAATCATATCTAGGCTCAGATTTAAACAGCAGTTATGTGCTGATGATTTCCAAAGTTCTGTCTCCAGCCTACACCTCTCACAACTGACCCGCAGACTCATATCCAAGTGCCAACTTGACAGCCTCAGTGTTCAACCAGGAAAAAAAAGCCATTGTATTTGAAACAGAATTTAATGCAGAGAATAAAATGCACAGGTGACAGAAGAGCTGAGAACAACAGGAGACAGCAGTACAGAGATTACAGGGCTCAGCAAACAGGAAGGCACCGTAGGCTACTGGGACAAAGGGAAGAAACGGTTACCAAAGCCAAGAGGTCAGGATAACCTGGCAGAAGCAAGAACCAAATGAGTCACAGACACTGTCAGAAATACCATCTAAGGCAGAGAGAGGGCAAAAATGATTATCCTGACTTCTCCCTTCCTATCTCCCAATCTCCTGTAGGTGTCTGAACCAGCCAGAAGCCAGCTGATGGATGTTAAGATGTTGGCACCTGCAAGAGTCAGCCTCACAGCAATACAGAAAGAGCAGAGCCGAGAGATTAATCTAGGAACAAACAGGCTCAGGACTGGAACAATGCAGGAGGTGGTTTTGTTTTTGTTCTTTTTTTAAGTCTGAGTATTAAAGGGGAGGGTATAACTTGGTGGTAGAGTGCATGCTTAGCATGTACAAGGTCCTGGGTTCAATCCTCAGGACCACCATAAAGTAAAAAAAAAAAAAAAGGTACTTGAGTATTAAAAGAAAATTATTTTGGTTCCCAACAGTAAAACAGGCATTTAAAGGAGGGAATGGTCAATAATGTCAAATACAGTATAAAGGTCAAGAAGAAGAAGGAAAAGTACAGAAAGAGAAAACCACTGGTATTCTTCAGCGGAGTACACAGAAATCTAACTGCAGACGTTTAAAGAGAAATGGATGTAAAGGAAAGTGACGAGTAGGACCATGAGAAAAAGCGATTCCAGCTGGGAAGCAACAAGCTCTGCTAAAGCGCATAAAGGTCTGCTGACCATAAGGCAGACGTGTGTGTAGCTGAGGGCAAAGGGGAAAGACCAATTTACTGAATGAGAGGTCAAGTTCCATTCCACAAAACGGCACTGAACATTGAAAACCCTGTTAAAACAGATTTCCACAGATCAGTAAATGACCGCTTAATTCAAGTAACAACCAATACAACTAAATTCCAGAGTTCAATTAAATGTATGCCACAAATCATATGCTAAGGAACCTACAGCTTCATTTTTCTCAGTAGCAACACTTGTGTTTGATTGTAAGCTCTTAATTAAACTATAAATTAAGAAGGTTCTGCACTTGGTTTTTGTTCTGTTGTTGTATTTTTCCCAGAAACTTATAGTACCTAGTTCACCTATTTCACCTAGTAAATGTGGGCTGAAACCCAGGCTGACCTAATCACACTTTGTGCTTTCCCAAATCATTCCGCAAAACTGACAAATATGTTGACTAAGAACTCTTTCCTGGAAACCCACTCCTCCTGACTTTTCTATTACCTCAGCCATACAGGATTTGTTTTATTTTGTTTTATTTTATTTTATTGGTAGGGGGAGGTAATTAGATTTATTTATTTATTTATTGGAGGAAGTACTGGGGATTGAACCCAGGACTTCGGGAATGCTAAGCATGCGCTCTACCACTTGAGCTATACCCTACCCCCAGAATTAATTTCATTTAAAAAACTTTTATTTATTAATTTTGTTGTTATTGTTAATGGAGGTAACTTGGGGGTTGAACCCACGACCTCGTGCATGCCAGGCATGCGCTCTACCGCGGAGCTAACCCCCAACCCCCAGGATTAATTTTAAATTTTAGCCTCTTCCTTTTCCCTTGGCTCCCCGCCCTCACTCTGCATTTGTCCAGCTCTACATTTACTTTCACAGTCTCCTGTTTAAGGCGGCTCCCTCTGAACCAGTGACAGCACACCAGTTCAGGCTGCTCTGCAGCTAACAGACAATAGCTTTCACCCCCACTTCACTCCTCCCAGACCTCTAATTACGACAAAAACATAAATATCAATGGTCCTCCCTGACCCGAGTCAAAGCCAAACTCTCACACTCTGACTGGATGTCCAAGTTTACTGGCCCAACCAAACTGGAAAATTCACACCTCCCCGACCAACCACACCCTGACCTTCTCTACCTACTCCTTAGGTTTTGCCAGACCCTAAACCTGCCGGTGAAAGCCAGCTCGCTTCGCGCACGGAAAACAGTAGGTTTTTTTCAAGGCTGCCGCTCGTGTCCCCTGAACACACCAGCCGGCGGGGAAACGGCTCCGGACGCCCTCAGCGTGCAACCTTCACTCATCAAGAAACTGAGCGGCCCGTTCTGCTCCCTGACAGGTCTGAAGTCGAGAGGCACATCTTTTCGTCATCACACAGCGCCTCGCGTCTAGTGAGCCCGACGACTACCTCCTGCCTGAAAGCGACATCTGACACTTACGTCCACAGACATGTTTTACAGAAAAGCGCGCAGCGACGGGCTCTCCAGCCCGCCGGGCAAGGTCAGAACCTAGCCCTGGCCTTGCTGTCAAACACCCGCCCCGCCTGACACCCCAGAAGCAACCCCCACGGCCCGGCAGCGCCCCTGCGAGTGGAGAGCTCCGCACGAGCGGGGGGGCCGTTCTGGGCGTGGGTCCCGCGGCGGAGAGGGGCTTCGCGCATCCGGCAGCGAGGCTGCAGGCGGGAGCCTCCGGAGGCGAGTCCTGGGTCCCGGCCCCTCTCACCTGCGTCAGCCTCCGAAGCAGGGAGCTGCCCCCGCGGGCGCGGGCTCGGCCTAGCAGAAGGGCCGCCAGCACAACATCCTCGACGAGCGCGGAGCGGTGACTCGCCGCAGAGAGACATGGG